GACCAGACACAAGACCAGACACAAGACCAGACACAAGACCAGACACAAGACCAGACACAAGACCAGCCACAAGACCAGACACAAGACCAGTCACAAGACCAGACACAAGACCGGTCACAAGCAGCAGTGTGAACAATGACAAAGGAATGCATTTGTTGCAGTTCATTTGAAGAGCTTGTGGCTTGAATTCAGACTGGAGGTCTTGTATTGTTCTTGTGCCAGTCATGTGTGGTCTTGTGAAGGTCTTAAGTGGTCTGGACTACTTCACTGAGAACCATTTGATGCTTTCTCGTTTGTTTCTGTACCAGCCTGGAACGACAGTCACGCTACAGAATCTTTTCTCCACCCTGCCTGTCAGACACAAGGAATTCCTCCGGCATTTGAAGAAGGTTGGTCCTTCCTACTCTGAGTTGGGGAGTATACCAAAAACATTTAATCCATTGATTTGTCAATGAAGTTTGATATCAATAAAAATTGAGACACAAAAATACAAGAATATAGTTTTATGATATATATCCTTTCAATTCTAAGTGGTGGGAGTATTATGATACCTGAAGTCTTTAATCCATCATTTTATCGATAAATATCACCATTGATAAAATTGTGACACAACTATTCAGCGATACAGTACTGTGCTATGCAAACCTGTATTGCAATACAGTGACACTGTTTTGTGTAACCAAAGTCCAGATTTCTGGACAACAAATGTTTTTTAATTATCAGCAAACAATTTAATGTTCAAATTTGTAGCTTCAAAATGAATAGGAAGATTTTTTTGGTTTCTTTAGTTATTTGTTATTATTCATTTCACTGTGTTTTATTTTTAGGAGTTTACGAAGATGGTTCAATTGCTGCAGGCCTACGGTATCGTCAGCTCAGGTGTCAAGCTGACATGCACCAACCAAGTTGGGAAAGGGTGAGTGCTTGGAGGGTAGCACTAGAGAAGAGATCCCTGCTCTGTCAATGAGGCTGTGGTTGAGTTCTCATCAGTCCCTTCATAAGTCCAGTCGCGAGTCCTTTTACAAGACCAGTCACAAGTTATAGTGAGCTGTGATATTGGAATGCTTTTGTCACAGCTCACATGAAGAGCTGTTGACTCGACTTGAGACTGGATGACTTGTAATGGACTTTTAGGAGCTTGTGATAATCTGAACTACAACACAGTCTGACAGTGTAATCAATATCCTTAGCAAGATGGTTGCACAGTCCTGCTGAGTTTGATATCGCTTAGCATTTTCAAAAGGAGCTGTCTGTCTGACAGTGTTATCAATATCCTTAGCAACATGGTTGTACGGTCCTGCTGAGTTGAAATGCC